ACCACAAACAGGAGAGCGGGGGGGGAAGGGGGAAGCTCAGCCTCAAAGCAGACAGGAGGGGTGGGTACCGTTGAACCGGACCAGCTATCCAGAGGTAGAAGGCTTAGAGTAAGGGTAAAGGAGGGGTTGGGGTGAGGGTCCAGACCACACCTTCCCCGCGTAGAAGGCCGCGCGGCACATCTGGGAAGAGAAGGGGTGGTCCGCCTGCCACGGACCAACCACGGAGCATGAAGAGTCCGCCGCACACATCTGCGACGGAGACGGGGCGCGGTCCCGCCTCGGAGTCCGCCCCCGTCGACAGAGTGACCCGGCCGGGCCCCGAGCCGACGGAGAGAGCGATCAGGAGCCGCTCGGCGCTCATCGCCACGCCCGCCGAACCCAGCTCCGCTCGCCAGTGCTCCGCCACGTCCGCCTGCACCGGAGTAGAGGAGGGAGTGGTGAGGAGGGGGGTGGTGATGAAGAGGAGGTGGGATGGTGGTGGTGAGGAGGTGGGGGAAGGTGAGGAGGCGGGAGGGGGATGATGTAGCGTCCGCCTGCACCACCCGCGCCGCGACGAGGAGGAGCCAGCCGAGCGCCGACGAGGCGGAGGGCTGCGGGTGGAGCGAGTACGACGTGGCGGGCGAGAGGGTGCGGCTCTGCGCGGGGGCGGCGAGGGTGGCCGCGGCGATCGACGAGCCGAGCAGCGAGAGGAGGAGGGCTGTCTGCTGCGTCTGCGGAATGGGGTGCGTCGCGTAGAGGACGAGCACGCCGAGGACGGCGCCTTCAGCCGGCCGAACGCACTGCCCGTCCGAGCCCCACATGCCCGGCGACTCGAGGCACGGCACTCCGACGATGGCCTTGAAGCTGCTGCCTGCGCGGCGCAGGATGGCCGCCTGCTCGTCGGAGCCGCCAAACCAAGCCGCCTCGCGCGTGGATGCGACGATGTCGACGAGCGGGCTCGAGAGGAGGGAGCGGCACCTGTTCGCACCCTGCAGGCGTGAAGAGGCGCGCTGCTCTCACGCCAGCCGGGTCGAGGCGACGGGGCAAGCACCACGCCAGCGAGTTGAGCACGGCGGCACCGTCCGGCGCGTACGTCTGCAGCAGCGAGGAGGGCGCCGAGGCGGAGACGAGGGAGTAGTCCATCGCCGCGAGGCGAAGGACGTGGCAGATGTAGCCCATCTGCGCCTCGAGCACCATCGGCGGCGGGGGCGCCAGCCCGCCCCCCTCCCCACCCACCGCCGCCGCCGCAGCGAGAGGCGCCGAAGGGCCGACGCGCCCGCCCGGCGGTGCCGCGGGAGCATGCAGGCCGCTTTGGGGGAGGGAGGAGGAGAGGGAGGAGGGGGGTGCGGCGGAGGTCGGCTCGGCGGCGTGCGGCTCCCTCCCGCACGCCGCTCCGAGCGTCGCCGGGACAGCGCCGAGGGCGACGGACGCGCCGCCGAGGCTCGGGAGAGGCTGGAGGCTGTCGAGCGGCGACGGTACCAAACCGGCGGCGAGGGAGGGGGCGGCGAGGGAGGGGGCGGCGCCACGGGAGGGGAGGAAGGCCCCGGCCGAGGGGAGGCCCCACTCGAAGCTCAGGTTGAAGGGCAGCCTCCCCGCCCCCTCCTCCGCCACCGCCGCCGCCGCGGGCGGCGGCATCGCTCCGCCGGCGCCTGCAGACAGCTGCGCGGCGGCGGCGGCGGAGGGGGCGGGGCCTGCCGCGACCGCGGAGGAGGCGAGCAGGTCGCCTCCGGTGCCGCAGCGCGAGCCCATCGCCACCCGCGCCCGCACCTCCGGAGGCAGCGCCCCCTCCGACACGTCGAAGAGTGCGGAGAGGACCTGGTCGTGGCCGGCGAGGAGCGGAGGCTGGGACAGCTGAGGCTCCTTGGACTTGGAGCGCTGCCGCCGATTCTGGAACCAGACCTGCGGGCGGAGCGCGCGGCGGGAGGTGAGAGAGGTCGCGCCGTGCGCACTCCCCCTCTTCCGCCGACGCAGAGTCCGAGTGTGCGGCCGGCGGCGAGCGACGTGGCGTATGTGCGGCCGCCGCCTGGATCTGTCGCGCCGACAAGCTGAGGTAGGTGGCGAGGCGTTCGCGCAGGCGCGAGTCGGGCAGCTTCTCCATCGCGTAGACCGCCTCGAGCACGGCGCGCTGGTCTTGGGACCTGCAGGGCACCCGTGAAAGCGGTTAACGAGCGGGCCTCTGTCGCCCTGTTCTTTGAGCACGCGAGGAGGTGGAGGCGGGCGGCGACGCACAGCTGCATCCGCCGCGTCGCCCCCTCGTCCTTTTCGGCGCCGGATCCTCGCTCGCCGCTCTGGTTGGAGCTCGAAGTCGACGGCATCGCCGCGCGGGGCGATGGTGTGGAAGGCACCTCTCGCGCGCTAATGAGCCTCTATCAACCCGCATTCACAGGATTTTGCTGTGAAGAGAGACGTAGAGAAACAGATCTTACATCTTGAACCACCAGCCCGACGCTTACTACCAGTAACCTGCAGTTTTCTTTTAGCTGGCTGTCGGTGTCCAGTCCGAGCCTGACTGTTCTTCACCTTCCTACATATGTATGTTCGTAGGGAGGTGATGAGGATGTATGTTCGTACGTAGTGGCGCGATTGTGCGTCAGGCGAAAGGCGAGCGCCGGCGGAAGGTGGCACGCCGAGCGTGTCAGCCAAGGGAGGCGATTGCGCATACATACATACGGGATCCACTCTCACATCAATCTACATACATAGAGTGTCTACGCCCCGATGCACAGTAACTGGCACGACCAAACGGCTAAGCACGGCCCCGGCCACGGACGCTCGTGATCGCGTTGCACCCGCATGAGAATAAGCACGACATTCTGAACCCACCACCCCCTCAAATAGACAATCTCGCGGGAGTTGGCGTGACAAACCGGCGGCGAAACAGAAAGGGCTCAAGGCTTCGCAGCGCGAACGCCCCAGCATGTCCACCAAGCCACCCTCACCGATCGTAAAGATCCGGGCGCGCCGCTCGCTGAGCATCCGCACCGACTTTGCAAAGCCTCCCGAGTCGACTGGTCTGACGCCGGTACTGCGCAGCCTCAGGCCGACCAGCTCCCCCGGCCGCTGGACGCAGCCCGGGCGCATTGCCCACAGCAGCCTCCCCGCACTGCCGGATGCAGACCTCCCGAACCTGGCGCGGGCGCGCGTGCTCCGCTCCGCGCGTGCCGAGCCCATGCAGCTGGACGCGGCCGAGGCGGCGCCAGCTCGTGCCAAGGGCAGAGGCCGGGCGATGGTTGTGCACTCGGCGGCTGTGAGAGAGACCAGGGGGAGAGGCTGCGGCGCTGCATCGCGCCCCGCGGCTGCCGATGCGGCTCGCCGGTCGAGTCGGCCACGGAGGCTGCGCCCCGTGACAGCGGAGCCCTCCCGGCGCGTTGAACTCGCCCCTGCAGCATGTCGGCCGGCAGCCAGCGGCGCTCCCGGCTCTCGAGCGCCACCCGCCTCCTTCCTTCCCACGCCGCCGCCTCAGCCCTCAACCCGACAGCCACCGATCCCACCGCTCCACCACGGAGCAAGGACCTCCTTTCGCTCGCCGCAGACATCACCGCCAAGCCCGCGCCCACCGCTCCGAGTGCAGAGATAGATGCAAGAGATTGGCCTGTTGGCGCACCAACCCCCTCGGCCCAGCCACCTTACCCTACCCCCGTCAACTCTAGCCCTCGGCCCTGCTCCAGGTGCAGATCCCACCCTTCTGTGCCGAGGAGGAGCCGCCCCTCCGCTCCCTGGCAACCTCCCTCTCCTCCGGCTGCTCGAGCGGCGGGAGTGGCCTCGGCAGTGTCGGCAGCAACTTCGGGAGCGGTGGTGGTGGCCTTGTCGGCGGCGGCGGCGGCAGCGGCCTCGTCACGAGTGGGAGAGTCAGCGACGAGGCGGCGTTTTCTGGCGCGCTGCGGCCAGATTTCTCTCCGCCTGTGCAGGTGTGACGCGGCACACACTCTGCCCACCCGGAGGATAGCACGCGGGGTCTCAATGCGCCCTCCACCTGCCCCAGGTTGGAAGACGCTGGTCATCTGCGGGCGATGCGAGGGCGTTTGCGTCGCCGCGCGCCACGCCCTCCCCGGCTAGCGCGCTCCTCCCCTCCTCACCCGATGACGCGTGGGAGGAGGAGGGCAAAGCGCAGCTGCGGTGCGACCTCGCTCGCTGGATGTGCGGGCCCCGGCGTGGCCGCTTCCTCCACGATCTACTGCTTGTACCTAGGTACGACCCCACGCTCGACTGCTACTTTGACCCGCTGACGTCGAAGTATTACGAGCTCAACCTGGCAGGCCCAGGCGCAGCTGCCGCAACTCCGCGGCGGCACCAATGACAGAGAGCACAATCCATCCAGGATCTGTATCTCTCGTCATACGGCTTTAGAGCCGTATGTCCGAACAGCTCTCTGTAGCTTCACGCAGAAGAGGCGACTCTGCATGCATGCCGCGTCTCGAGGGAGAGGCCAGACGAGGACACTGTAGTTCATCGTACATCGTCTGTCTCTGCTCAGCTTTAACATAAAACGACCGACGCTACGGTTTACTGACGGGTCATTCTGGAGGGTCGAGAGACCCGCACCGCCACCGGCGCAGCTAACCTATCAAACCTAGCTAGGCTTCGTGCCTCTACCTCTGGGTTGTTTGGGTACTCTACCTCTACTGCCCGGTTTGCTGCTCGGACTGCGCTTGCTGCAGCGCGGAGGCGGCGGCGGCGTTGGCCTGCGTGCCTCGCGCCGTCTCCGCGGCGAAGAGCTCCTTCACTCGCGCCTCGAAGACCGCCTTCCGGCCCGCGCCAACCACCTCCCCAACCTCGTCCCCGGCCGCCTCCCCCGCCGCCCCTCTTCTCGCCGCGGCCGCCTCGTACCGCTGAAGCAAGCCCGGCAGGCCACCGATCGGGTTGATCGCGGGGCGGAGCCTGCGGGCCATCGCCAGCGCGTCCGAATGGCTCATCCGCCGGTAGTGCATCAGGCAGAGCACGCCGGTGGTGCCTGCGCGGTGGGCGCCGGCCAGGCAGTGCACAAGCACCGAGCCGCCCGCGCTGTGCGCCTCGTCGATGAACGCAAAGAGCGGCTGCGTGAAGGCGAGCACCGACTCGTGCTCCGGACCGATGTGCCTCGCCCAATAGGACACATTGAAGCGGAGGTAGGCGAGCGGCGCAGCGCCGGCCTCGTGGTAGTTTGGGATGTTGTCGGTGCAGTTGACGACGTGTGTGACCCCCGCGCGAGCGAGCATCTCGCGCGAGCGAGCAGCGGTGTCGTTGCCCACAAAGATGGCCGCGCCGCTCTCCCTCGCATAGATTGGGTCGAGCGAGTTGTAGTGGGCGCCGGCCCTGACGCCACCGAGACGGTCCAGCCCGAGCTGTGCGAAGAGGTCCCGTGCTGCCTGGTCGTAGTACTCGGTGCTGCTGTCGCCCATCGCCGAAGAGGGTGCCGCAAGGCGCGCGATACGGGTGAAACCTTGCGTTTCTTTCCGCCGACGCGAGGACAAACCAGACTACATAACGCCGTCTTTTTCTTCATTTGCTTGAAAGGCTTCGGCTCGCGGTCGCCACCCCCGCAGGCCTCCGAACTGGTTCCTAGGAGATGAGCTGCGTACACCGGAGATGAGCGGCGTACACCCTACCAGCTGCCTCTGCGCGCCGGCCGAGCCCCTGGCCTCAAGCATGTGCCAGGGGGTAGTATCCGCCGCGCTACATCACGCATCTGCCCAAAGAGATCCCCGGCGATGCCTCGAGCGACAGGTTGCTTGGCACTGGTGAGGCAGAGACACGGCCCTCTCCCCTGCAGGCGCACGGCGACGGCGCGCGCGGAGGCAGCGGGCACTGGCCCATGTCGCTCATCGTCCCCGTCGCAGCGTGGCCCGCTCCGCCGCAGCACCGCGTGAGCGCTCTGCTCGCGACGACGCTCGACGGCTCCGAGGTGGTGTCGGGCGGCGAGGGAGGCGAGGTGTGCCTCTGGGGCTCGTCCGACGAGACCGCTCCGCCCGGTGGGCCGGGCGACGCCGCCGCCGCCGCCGCGCTCACTCCGCGCGTGCCGTCTAGCGGTGCAGAGACAGGGTCGGCGGGAGGTTGCGCGAACCTTCGCGGAAGCGTCCGCGTGTAGGCGGGTGATCTGCCTCGGGCACGAGGCGGCGGTGGTGTGGCTGGGGCGGTGTATGCTCGAGGGGCACGCTGCGGTGGCCTCGCTCTGCGCCGGCGGCCACCTCAATGTGTGCGGGAGATATGGGGAGATATGGGGAGATATGGGGAGATATGGGCGGCCACCTCAATGTGTGCGGCCCTAGAAGGTTCCTAGACACTTCCTAGGGAGAGAGAGGCCACCTCAATGTGTGCGGCCCTAGAGGCGGAGTCTGTGTCCTTGTCTGCCCAACCAGCACTCGAGAGGGCTCGGGCTCGGCTGCACTCGGCCGTATTCAGCCGTATTCAGCTGTCCTCGCACCCCGCGACTTCACGCGGTGCTCTGAACACTCTGCACGGTCCCGCCCTCCCGCCCGGAGCACGCGGGCGTGGGACCCGGCGATGGCCGCGAATCAATAATGAATCATTCACGGTAATAAACAGGTGTGGGACCCGGCGGATGGCCGCTGCCTCTCCGCCTCGCCGGCGCCGCTGCTCGGGGGGGCTGTCGCGACCGCCGCTGCGGCGTACCCGGCGGAAGGCGACGTCCTTCTCGGCGGCGAGGCGACTGCTCTGTGGAGGGTGCGTCTCGCTACGATGGAGCGCCACGTCGCTGCGGAGGCGTGCGGAGAGCTGCTAGCGACGCTCGGACGAGTCGGAGGAGGACGGAGTCGTGACGTGTCGTGGCTTCGCCGCTCCTAGGCGGAAGACTGGTGCGTCGCACTCTCCCTCTCGCTCGAGCCGCCGCCGGCTCCTCCGCCCTCCTCCTCCTCCGCCACCGAAGCCGCCACCGCCACCGTCGCCACTGCCACCTCCGCCACCACCGCCACCGCCGCCTCCGCCTCCGCCTCCGCCTCCGCCTCCGCCTCCGCCTCCGCCTCCGCCTCCGCCTCCGCCTCCGCCCCGCCGCCTCTCCGCTTGCTCTGCCTCGACGCTTCCCTGACGATCCTCGTCTGGCGACTGCCCGCAGCCGCAGCCGCAGGCCTCCCTACCCTCCGCCTCGCCTCCATCTCCCTCGCTCCGCCTCCCCGCCCTCCCCCCCCTCCCCCTCGCCCCCTGCACGGCGACGCGCCAGCCGGAAACGACGAGGCCGCCGCCGCCGCCGCCGCCGCCGCCGCCGCCGCATCCGCACGGCTCGAGGCGCTCGCTGCGCCTCGCTTCGCCTCCTTCTCCTCGGACGGCTCGCTGCTGCTGCTGCACGCCGCGAGCGGCTCCGTCGCAGTCTTTGCCGTCCCTCCGTCCGCGCCGCCGCCGCCGCAGCAGGTGGCCGCAGCGCGAGCGGCGCTCGCCCCGGCTCTGTTTGGCGCCGCTGGCCGCGGGCTGGGCCGCGGCGGCGGCAAGGCTGCACCTCCGGACGAGCTAGCGTGCAAGGCGCTGCTCCGGCTAGACGGGCGGTGGCTGGGCGCGAGGCTGGTGCAGACTGCGGACGGCGGCACAACTGCTCCTTCCGCTGCCGCCACCGCCACCGCCACCGCCGTCGCCGCCGCCAACGTCGAGCCCGCAACCGCAGCCGCTTCCGCCTCCGCCGCCTCCGCCGCCTCCGCCGCCTCCGCCGCCTCCGCCGCCTCCGCCGCCTCCGCCGCCTCCGCCGCCTCCGCCGCCTCCGTCTCGGGCGGCGGCGGTTGGAGCGTTCTGGCGTGGGGCTGCGGCGAGGGCGAGGGCGCGGAGCCGGCGCTCTTTCCTCTTCCGCGGGCTGACGAGGCGGGCGGGCGGGTGAGCGGCGCTCGACTCAGCGGAAGGGACAGCGGCGGCGGCGGCGGCGGCGGCGGTGGCGGCAGTAGTGGCGGCGGTGGGGGCGGAGGCGGTGAGGGAGGCGGAGGGGGCGGAGGCGGTGACGGAGGGGGAGGCGGAGGCGGTGGCGCAGCGGCCGGCGAGGTAGGAGGCGGAGGAGGCAGAGCGAGGGCGCCGGCTCGAGAGTACGTAGCCGCCGTCGCGACGCCGCGCCTCGCCCCGCTGCTGACGAGCCGAGGCGCAGACGGCGATCGGTCGGCCGACGCCTCCTCCTCCTCCTCCTCCTCCTCCTCCTCGCCCGCGTCTGCGTACGTCCTCGCCGCCGCGGGAGGGCGAGGGGAGCTGCACTTGTGGCGCCCCGTGCTGCCCGCCGCCACCCGCGCCGCTGCTTCGGCGGCGAGATGCGGGCGGAGAGGGGCGCCGGCGCGTGGGAAGAGGGCTTCACAGCTGGTGGTGTGAACAGGTGCAGGTGCCTCCCGGCGGCAGGGTGGCGCTGGGCGTGGTGGGAGGGGTGGACCTCGACGCTGCGTGGTCGCCGCTCGAGGGCGGGTTGGGCCGGCTGACCGCGAGCGCAGCCCTCTGCCGCGAAGGCGTGCCCGCGTGCCTGGTCGTCGGCGACAGCGCCGGCGCCGTCGCGCCGCTCGGGCGGTCGCCGCCGCGCGGGCGGCCAGTCTTCACAGCGGGCGAGCTGTGAACAGGCGCCGTCGCGCGGCTCGACCTTCCAGGCGGCGGGCAGCAGGTTTGCTCTCGCGAGCACCGCCACGCCGGCGCAGTGACGGCGGTGCTGCCTATCCGCCCGGAGCTGATGGTGTGGGCGGCGGGCGATGCGGCGCTGCCTCTCGTCTTTGCGTCCGCCGACTCGGTAGGCACCGTCACTCTCTGGTCCCTCCGCTCCCTCTCTCCGCTCGCGCAGTGCCGCCAGCACGCGGCGGCTGTGTCCGCGCTGCTGCAGCCGCCGATCGGCGCCGTCGCCGCCGCGCCCGAGAGGCTGTCCTCCCGGCTGGTCTCGGTCGGCTCGGACGGCAGCATCTCCGTCTACGAGGTGACGGGGAGCCCCCACAGCCCGCCCCTCTGAACCAACTCTGAAGCACCTCTCAATCACCTCTGAATCACCTCTTAACCACCTCTTATCCACCTCGAGGTGACGGGGGAGCCGCACTGCCCTCCCCCCGACGGCGGAGCGGCGGGCGGCGGCGCGGCGTACTCGGGCGCGGCGGGCGGTGGAGAAGGGGATGGCGTCTGCCACGCGCTCGGTCAGGTCGGGCTGCGGTGCGAGCTGATGCTCTGCGGCATCGGGCGGCCCGTCGGTGGCCTGTTCTGGCGACCTGCAGAGGGTCTGCTCCTCACCCACTCTGCCTCGGCGTGGCGGGAGGGGGGCGGAGGGGGCGGAGGGGGCGGAGGGGGCGGAGGCGGCGGAGGCGGCGGAGGGGGCGGAGGCGGCGGAGGGGGCGGAGGGGGCGGAGGCGAGACGCTGCACGTGTGGGGTCTCTCTTCGGGCAGGCTCGAGCGAGTGATCCGCGCCGCCGACACGCCCGCCCACTTCCGCGCCATGGTCGACGGGTCGCTCGAGTCCGTCGGCTTTGCGCAGGCCGCAGTAGCAGCCGCAGTAGCAGTAGTAAGGGTAGGCCGCCCGCTAGTAGTACCCACCCATACCCCAACCCCTACCCCCAACCCCTACCCCCACCCCCAACCCCCACCCCCACCCCCAACCTCCCCCTACCCCCAACCCCCCCCTACCCCCAACCCCAACCCTACCCCCACCCCCACCCCCAACCCCAGACCGTGCTGGACGCGTGCGGCTCATCTCCCACATCTCCCCACGTCTCCCCACATCTCCCCACATCTCCCCACATCTCCCCACATCTCCCCACATCTCCCCACATCTCCCCACTTCTCCCCACGTCTCCCCACATCTCCCCACATCTCCCCACATCTCCCAACCCCAGGCCGTGCCGGACGCGTGTGGCTCGCTCGGCCTCGCGCAGCACGCAGGCACGCGCGGGAAGGGCCTCGCCAGCTCCAGATCGCTAGCCGGCTCGGCTGCGCACGGCGGCGGCAGCTGCCACAGCGTCGCGCTTCGGCTGGCTCCTCGCGCCGCCTCGCCCGCCCTGCCGCAGCCACACCTCTGTGCGCACCTCTTCTCTGTGCGGCGGCTGATTGCCGAGGCGAAGCGCGAGTCTGCGGCGCGCGAGGCCGCCTACCAGGCTTACCTGCAGCAGCAGCCAGGCTCTCAACTAGCAATCAGCAACCAGCAACTAGTCAGCAGTAGTTCGTTGGTACCTGCAGCAGCCAGGCTCGCCGTACTGGTTACTGCTGCCGGGAGGGCGTTGACTCTCCGAGCGACACACCGCCAGGCTCTTCACTCGCAATGAGCCATCAACTCGCAATCCGCCACTCGTAACTCACTGGCCGGCAGGCTCGTTTCTTTTCTTTATAGGCTCGCCGCGCGAGAACACGTTCCTCACCGGCCGGCTGTCGCAGGTGATCTCCCCCTATCTCCCCGTATCTCCCTGCATCTCCCCGTAACACGTTCCTCACCGGCCGGCTGTCGCAGCCGCGGGGAGGACACAGCGCGGTCGCGGAGCGAGCGGAGATGGCCGAGGCTGCGAGCGGCGCGTCGGAGGCTGGATCAGGCGCGGCATTGCCTGCCCTCGCCTCTCCCGGACCGGCGGACCGCGAGGGCGGCGGTGGCGGTGGCGGTGGCGGTGGCGGTGGCGGTGGCGGTGGTGAGTGCGAGGCCGAGCCGGGCGAGTCGCTTCTCCAGTCGCCTCTTCACGGCTCTCCTATGCGAGGCTCGCTCGGCCGGCCGCTGCGGAGGAAGAGCCGGCGGCCGAGGAGAGAGAGCAAGGCGTGGCCGCTCGATGATTACGGCCCACTCGACCTCCCCTCCGACATCGCAGTCTGCAGGCATCTCCCGGCATCTCCCCACATCTCCCCACATCTCCCCACATCTCCCCACATCTCGCCATATCTCCCCACATCTCCCCATGCCTCCTCCGACGTCGCGGTCTGCAGGCTCGCCCTTTCCTTCATGACCGCGTGGGGCGTGGACGCCGACTTCGACGCGCGCTGCGCCGCGGAGATCGGCGTGTCGCCTCCCGCGCCCGTGCTTGCGTACGGTGTGCGCGGCCACGGCGGGAGGCTATCCTTTCTCACCCCCCGAGCTCAGCGGAGGGACCGGCGGTGCCACGCTGGCTTGCACGAGGGCCGGGCCGCTCCGCGAGCGCGCCGTTCACGCCTCGCGGTGTGAATAGGTGGCAGTGCTCGCCGCACATGACCGCGCTCTGGTCGCTCGGCGCGGTCTCGCTCGCAAACACTCTGATGATGTGCCCCGGGTACGACGAGGCGCGGGGCACGCGCTGCTCGCAACGCGTTCACCGCCCTTCACTGACTCCTGTCCATCCGTGCGACGAGGTGCGAAACACGTGCTCGTCCGTGGTGACGCACTTCTCGGTGACGGTACCGGAGGCGATGCCGCAGCTGGCCCCTCCAGGCACCTCTTCTCTGTCAGCGATGAGCTGCTGCTAGTCAAGCGTAGGCGATGCCGCAGCTGGCGCCCCCCCTCTTTATTCGTGGCTAGTAGTTAGTGGAGTAGTCATTCGTCGTAGGCGATGCCGCAGCTGGCGCCTCCCTCGCTCTCGTTCCTCGCGCGCCACTACTGCGATCCGACCGAAGAGGTGCAGGCTGCGGCGCGCGCGCTGCTCGAGGGCGCGCTGCAGCGGATGACGCCGCAGATGCGGCAGCGAGTCATCGAGGCGTGGACTCCTCGGCTGGTGCCGCCGCCGCACCACCCGCCGCAGCCGACACCGCCCAAGGCCGCCGCCGCTCCCGCGCCTTCCGCCGCGCTGTCCCGCCGGCAGCTTCTCACGACGACAACCACCGAGCTGCACGCTGCGCAGCCGCCCGCCTCGCCCGCCGAAAAGCCGCTCCCGTTCGAGCTCACGTCGGCGCACGGGGTGGCGGTCCTCGTCCTCGGCGTCCTCGTCTGCCGCTTCGGCGCCGAGGCTGACCCCCGGATACACGCAGCCCTCACCTCGTCCCTGACACGTCCATGACACGTCCAATAGGCGCCGAGGTTGACCCCCGGATACACGCGGCCCTCACCTCGTCCCTGCTCGCGCTCCTCGACTCCCCCTCCGAGGAGGGACGCCTCGCCGCCGCCGACCTCCTCTCCAAGGCCTCTCTCCCTAACCTAGCCCTAGCCCTAGCCCTAACCCTAGCCCTAGCCCTCTAGCCCTAACCCTAGCCCTTACCCTAACCCCAACCCTGACCCGTCCCCTAACGTAAACCCTAGCCCTAACCTCCTCCCGCTAACCTCCTCTCCAAGGCCTATCTCGTCTGGCGCTCGCATCTCCCGCAGCCCGCAGCACTGATCCGCACTCTCTTCAACTACGCGGCAGCCGCCGCCGCCGCGGCCGCCGCCGCCGCCACACGGCCCGCGGCGCAGGGGTCGGGGGGCGAGGAGGCGCCGCCACCGCAGCCGCCGCCGAACCGCTTCCTGTACCACTCGGCCCTCATCCAAGTCGGCGTCTGCGAGCCCTCCCTCTTTTGTGCGGAGATGGGCGCCGCCGCGGTGCGAATGGGGTCGCCGCCTCGCGTGCGGCTGGCAGCTGTCGCATACCTCATCTCGCTCGTCAAGGCGGCGACTAAGTGGACCCAGTCTTGCCCAGTGACTTAGCTACTGACCTCATCTCGCTCGTCAAGGCGCCTGGAGAGACTCGAGGTTGAAGTTCACGCGGACTTGGCTTGTGACCCTGTCTCGCGCTCGTCAAGGCGCGCACCGCGTCGCTCGAGCCGGCGCTGCCTCTCGTCGTCGAGGCCGTCCTCCGCCTTGCTCGACCACCTCCGAGACACCTCCTAGACACCTCCGAGACACCTCCTAGGCCGTCCTCCGCCTTGCTCGACCACCTCCGAGACACCTCCTAGACACCTCCGAGACACCTCCTAGGCCGTCCTCCGCCTTGCTCGACCACCTCCGAGACACCTCCTAGACACCTCCGAGACACCTCCTAGGCCGTCCTCCGCCTTGCTCGACCACCTCCGAGACACCTCCTAGACACCTCCGAGACACCTCCTAGGCCGTCCTCCGCCTTGCTCGACCACCTCCGAGACACTTCCTAGACACCTCCGAGACACCTCCTAGACACCTCCTAGGCCGTCCTCCGCCCGCTCGACCCGAGCGTGCCCTCGTTGCGCGAGTCGTCTCTCGGCGCGTCGACCACCGCGCTGCGAGAGCTGGTGCGCCGCTACCAGGCGGTGCACTTGAACCGGCCTGATGACACGCCATGGACATGTCACGGACGTGTCATGAGGTGCGCCGCTACCCGATGGTGCACTTCAACCAGCCGACACAGCGGCTCGCCGTCGGGACAGCCGAGGGGGTGGTGCTGCTCTACGACCTGCGCACCGCCACAAAGTGGCGCATCCTGCAGGGGCACGAGGCGGCCGTCACCGCGCTCGCCTTCGCACCCGCCGGTGACGCCTCCCTCGCCTCCGCCCAGCCTGCCGTCGCGTGACGCGATATCGACGCCCGCTGTGACGTGGACGTGGCTCGCGGCAGGCGACACGCTCGCGTCCTTCTCCGCGTCGGAGGCGTCGCTGCGCTGGTGGGCGGCCGGCTCGTCAGGCCCCCTCCCCCCCCGCCCCCCTCTCCCCCCGCGTGTGCGGCTGCGGAGGAGGAAGTCGCTGTGAGAACAGACCGCTGCTCTGCGAATAGGCCTCTTCTCTTTCCTCGGCCTGCAGGGCTCGTGCCTCGGGGTGACTAGGGTGGACTGTGCGCTGCCCGACGCACCCGGTGCGCGCGTCAAGATCGAGTGGGCCTCGCCCCAGTCGGTGGGCATCACGTGCGACAACGAGGCGCTCGGTTTCTTCACGCGGCCGCCTTAGCGGGGAAGCCATGCGGCGATTGCTGAGATCTACTTGTGTGCGGCCATATGTGTTGTGTGTGTGCGCCGTGTCTTGACACACTTTTCATGTGGCGTAACCTAACATCAGACGCCGCCCCACAACACCAATACTCTCCGACACTCGCACAGCCCTGCATCGAAGATAATATATGAGTTGCGCGCGAGGTGCACGCAAGAAAATGTCCCCCAGCGCTCCGTGTTAAAGGTGGTTCCATGTAGCAACTAGCATGTTCAATGTTCTGCTCCGAGAATGTGATCCGACGCCCGACGCAGGGCCGATACAGGCTCCCGACAAATAACTCATTGCCTGCGTCCGCGCAGTAGCATCAGCTCAGCGGTGTCGTGGAAGGACTGCTCGTGCTCGCGTTTGAACGAGACCATAAACTCGAGGAAATGCTTCGCGCTCAGCGCCACTGGCGAGGAGATGAGGTCGCGCTTAGCGCCCGGCGTCGAGAGGGTCGCCTGCGTCATGTCGAGCTGCCCGACGCGATTGGCCCACGGAGGCTCCCAAAATCGCATCGCAAGAGTACCCTCCTCTCCCTCCGCAAGGCCCGAGAGCTTTACCAGCGCCTCCCAGTGGATCCCAGCCTCGAGCTGCAGCCTCGCGGAGGAGACACCCTCGAAAGACGCCTCTTTGAGGGCCTCGCACCCGTCCTCGGCGGCCGAGTCGTCCAAATCGCGGGTCGTCGAGGGGAGGAGTTTCTGCAAATGCCCGTGGATCTCGTCAAAGCTCGGCAGCCAGGCGAGCGAGCGGCGGCGTCGCGAGAGCAGTGCGATGCAGACGAGCTGCTGCAACTTCTTGAAACCGAACTGGGCCAGCCGCTCTGCGGTCGAGCCCTCTTCACTCTCCGTCTCGATCCAACCACCGTCGCGGCGGAGCGCCTCCCGCTTCGTCGGCGCGCCTGATCACGGCGCGGGTGGTAAGTGCCTCACAGAGACAGCTGGCTAACTCCGCCAACGGAGCGCCGACGAGCGGGGCGACATACTGGTCCATCGCAGCGTCGAGGGCCGCCTAGCAGTACCCTCGCCCTAAGTCGCTGACCTCTTGCGCCCTCTCATTCCGCCCTCGCCCGCTCGCCGTCATCGCCAGCGGCACGTCGCGAGCAAGGGAAACAACCGCAGGGAGCCCATCCATCTAGAGTTGCATGAAGCGAAGTGTGACCAGAGAGGGGCGTAGGGACACCGCCGCGGGGAGTCCGCCCGCCTCTCGCTCCATCGGCATCATGACAGCGGCCGCCTGTGCTCCGACGCAGCTCTCGAAGGCCGGCGTGCACTTGGTGGTGGAGCAGTCCTCGCACTTCTTGCTGCGACCCCACATGCACTTTGACCAACACTTGTCCCGCGAGCACTGCGCCATTGTGCCAAAGCAGCCGGCGCAGTCGGGAGAGTAGCCCGTCTCCTTCTCAAACTTGGCCGCCACGCACCCGCCCTGCCCGACGCACTGCAGCGAGATCTTCTCCATGGTCGACTCAAAGCCCTGCATGCCCAAATCCTCGATTGCGGCCAGGTCGGCCTCGTTGGCGCAGCTGCTCTCCCCTCCTCGCTCCGAGGCGCCGAAGAACTGACGCGACACAGCCTCGTACTCTGTTGAGGCACCTACGAAGCTCCGAATCCCGGGACTCACCTGCTTCTGCCGAGCGTGCACGGCTGTTGGGGCGCGCACCGCCAGTGAAGAGCGGCTTGGCGACGTCCGATTCCGTTTCGCCGTCCATGGCATCGCCGCCAAAGCCTAGCTGCTCCCGGACGTCGTCCGAAATCATCACCTCCGCCGACTCGGGGCCAACACAGGCGAGAAAGGCGCCCGTGCATTTCTCAATCGAGCACTTCTCGCATTTCGGGCTGCGACCGAAGATACACTTGGTCCAACATCGGTCGCGTGCGCATTGGCCCATGTCGCCAAAACACTTGGCGCAGCTCGGAGAGTAGCCGGGGTCTTTCTCGAAGGCGTGCGAGACGCAGGACCGAAACCCAACGCAGCGGAGCGAGACCGCTGTCATCTCGGACTCGAACCGATCTCTGCCCTCCTCAATCACCATCGCGAGGTCTGCGGCATTGTTGTCGCAGTATGCGCCTGACGTCTGACGCTGGGCCGGCGTCGGAAGCGGCAGAGCGCTTGTGCGCAGCAGCGCCGCGGCGATGATGAGAGAGGGCGAGAGAGATGAGCGCAGCATCACTCACGCCCACTCTCCACTGGCGAGGCGATTATGACGGACGGATTGGATGCAGCACTGTTGGCTGCACGAGGGCTGCCCCGGACCGATTTACGCCCCGGCGGGGATGGATTTGCGGGTTTCCCCGTGCCGCGAGACTTGGGCATGTATCTCCCGCGATGTGTCGCGGACAAACCCAAGTAGACGCCCCTTGGGCGGGATCGCGTCTTACTTACACAAGAGGAACTATAACACATCGCTAGTCATGTACAATCATGAGAACTGGGTCCAGGCCCCATAGTGAGGTGGTCTCCCAGTCTAGCGCACCTCGCGCCCGGCGGGCGGCGACCTGTCCGTCCACCGACCCCTCCGCCCGCGCGTGCCAACGCCGCCTCCACCGCCGAGTCGAAGAGCCGATGTAGACCCGTCGTCCGTCCACCGTGTGGTACGCCGCGAAGCGGCCCGACGCCCAGGGAAGTCGGCAGCCGCGCGAGCCCGACGCCTGCTCCTGCTTGCGCACGCCTGCGTAGCCGGTGCTGCTGCGACTCGAGAGGTGCAGCCGCCAGCCCTGCGCCTCTGTCACCACCGCCGGCGCCTCCCCCGCGGGGCCCATGTGGGATGGACCTGCGAAAGCGCGGGGAAGGGAGAGTGCATTCAGAAGGCAGAACCTGAGCACAAGTGGGGGGCTTGCTCGCGAGCCTTGACTTGCATCGACTTGATTACAACGCGGAGCCATCGCGGGTAGCCAGAGGCGGCGGACCGATCAGCATGGGCGGCGTGTCATTCTGCAGTCGATCGCCGCCGAGCGGCATAGCGGCGCCGTCGCGGGTAACCAAAGGCGGCGGGACGGCGGGAGAGGGCGGTGGTGCGGGCGGTGATGCTGATGATGTGGCCATTGGCCGCCGCCGCGTCCTCTTTGCGAGCGCTCTCGACTTCCGTCCCTTTTTACGCTTGTCCCCCCCCTTGCTCGTGTGTCTGACTTTTCGCCGGGTCAGGCCACTTGCTGTCGGCCGTCTACTTGGGTTTGTCAGAGAAAAAAGTCAGTAGGGCAATGCTAGGTTGCGCTTCTCAGCTCCCCGGCCCTGGGTGTGCGGCTGCCAACTGCACTCCAAGTGCTCCAAGCGCGTGTGTGTGTGTGAGTGTGTGTGTGTGCGTGACCTAGTAGTGTCCCCAGCTATGGGCGTGTCCACGTTGGAGCCAGGTGTGGTGTGGGCGCGAGAATAGCTCCGCCGTTCATGGAGGCAACCGATGCGAGTCGACTGGTGTGTGTCGTCGTGGTTTCGTATCAAGAATACTCACTCACACTCACACTGCTCCAAGCGCTCCTCGGAGAAGGACCACCCGTCCGCTTTTTGTCGCACAACACTGAAAAAAGAAAGAAAACGACAACGCAAAATAGGATGGGAGGACGGCACGCCGCCACCAGAAAGGGATTTTAACACTGGGACGGGAAAAGCGCTTTAATTCTTTTCTTCGACCTCGCCTTCCCGCTCGCGCGCATTTGCACCGGAACAGCGGGCGAATGCCCGACTTCCTGTGCCTCCGCTGCTACGCGTGCGGCACCTTCCAGAGCGTCCAGCGAACCGTGCGCCCAAAGTGGGCGTGCAAGGTGTGCACTGAGAAGCAGTCCGTCCTACGCTCGTACTGCGGGAGCACGGTTGCGTCGGATGTGCGGCGCGCCGTGCAAGCTCTCAATCTGGCGCGCGGCCGCAGTGACGCCGCTCTCGCGGCAGCAGTGCTCGACGGCGACGGCGGCGGTGACTCAATCCATTTCGGCGGCGGCGGCGGCGGCGGCGGCAGTTGGGATGGATCTGCGGCAGTGCCGTCATGCGAGGAGTGGGAAGATGAACCTGCTCACCACGGCGGCAGCTACTTCGGCGGCGAGAACTTTGGCGGTGACCACTTCGGCGGCGGCGGCAGCTTCGGCGGAGGGAGAAGTCCCGGCGTCGGTGGAAGCTTCGGCGGCGGCGGCGGATCGTATTCCGGCAGCAACGCAGAGCACACAGCCTGTGTCCACGGCAGCGCGGAGGAGTACTTGGGCGAAGGCGGCAGCGGGTGGCCTTCCTACGGCGGCGGTCCGGGCTGCAGCTACGGCGGGGGCAGCGGCGGTCGCCCCGCCGCCTCCTCCGCCTCTTCTGCCTCGGGCACTGCCCGCGTCTCTCGGTGGGCGAAGTATGCCCAGCCAGCCGCTACGGCGCCGGAGGCGGAGGAGGGCGAGGACGACCCTCGCTACGTGCTCGTGCCGCCGCGGGAGGCTGCGGCCGCGGCGCGCCGCGCGGGAAAGCGAAGCGAGAGGGGAAGGGGGGCAGGAGGCGGGCAGCAAAATTTGCCGCCGCAAAAGCGACCCCGCGGCGGCGGCGGCGCGGGCGGCGGCGGCGGGCGCAGCGGCGGCGCGGGCGGCGCGGGGTACAGTGTTGCCACGAGTGTGGCGAGTTGCGAGTGGGAGCGTGGCGAGGGGGGAAGGGGCAGCATCGAGGGGGGCGGAGGGTGGGGGGGAGGGGGAGGAGGAGACGGAGGAGGAGGAGGCTGCAGCGGAGGCGGGGGGCACAGCGGCGGCCGCGGCTACGGCGGGGAGTTTGGCGGCGGTGGCTTCAGTGGCGGCGCAGGAAGCGGCGACGGTGGCGGCAGCTGCGGCCGCAGCTGCGGCGGGGAGGAGGAGGGCTTCGTGACATCGCTGCAGGACGAGGTGGTGGAGGAGGAGTGGTGCTGAGGACATGGACACTCCGCCATGAAGCCAGTGAATACGCGAATCTGGACATGGAACCGTCTGCGTGTTTTCGAGACGAGATGCGGCGGCCGTTGCGCCCTCGTTTGTTGCGCATCGCTGTCACAGACTCTCCGTCTCTGTGTTGACTCAGACTGATGTGAGGTAAATAAATAAATAAATAAAAACGGACACCTCTCTACTGTGAGATGGGTAAAAAGGAACAGGCCCCCGCCCTTGCGATCTTTGTGCAGGGTTCTTTGTGGGTGTGGTCGGCGACTAGCCGGGGTCGTCCTCCCGATGGGATAGACGTGACGAAGGAGGAGCTAGCGTGGAACTTTGGATGCATATCGGCAAGCCAAAATAACGAGCAGGAGGGTGGGCGGTGGCTGTCCTGGTGCGTGAGCTAATCCTGAACAACAATAAGCGACTGTACCACGGAGCACAGAGCGCAGCAGACAGGACGGCGGCGACGGCGGACATGGCAGAGACGAGTGTGAAACAAAGGGCGGCGGGCATGGAGGGCGGTAGCGACGGGGATGGTGACGGTGACGGTGGTGAGGGAGAGGAAGGGGGTCCATTAGCACCATGGAGGGCGCATTAAAATTCTTCCGTGTACGTAGACTACTTTTAGCTTAATGGAGAAAAGGGACCCGTAGTGGCGGTGGCGACGGTGGTGGAAACGGTGGTGGAAACGGTGGTGGAAACGGTGGTGGAAACGGTGGTGGAAACGGGGGTGGAAACGGGGGTGGAAACGGGGTGGAAACGGGGGTGGAAACGGGGGTGGAAACGGGGGTGGAAACGGCGGTAGTGGTATCGGCGCTAGCGGCGGCGGCGGCGGCGGCGGCGGTTGCGGTGGCAGCGGAGGTGGCAGCGGCGGTGGCAGCGGCGGTGGCAGCGGCGGTGGCAGCGGCGGTGGCAGCGGCGGTGGCAGCGGCGGTGGCAGCGGCGGTGGCAGCGGCGGTGGCAGCGGCGGTGGCAGCGGCGGTGTTGGCGGCGGAGGGGGGGGAGGAGTTTGCGATGGCGGTTGCGATGGCGGCTGATCGAGCTAGTATTCACGCAGATCGCGAAGCCGGCCGAAAGCTCAGTTCAATCTTCGTCTGCAAGGGAGACACCGTGGTCCGCAGTGAGTGCAGCGAAATCAGACCCGCGACCTCTTTGGTTTCGTCTCCCCCGGCCTGGTGCCTGAAAGTGAAGCGCGCCCCGGTCCCGGTGCGGCCGGTGGCGACCCGCATGATGGAGCGTACGTATTTTTTATTCATTTGTGCTGCGCCGGGCCACACATTGCTATAACCCTATAACGGGTCCCCCGCGGGCGACACCATTTTGGTCAGAAAGCTGGCCCGCCGAGTGGTGGCCGGATCGACAGGTTGCCGTTGCGCACTAGAAACAGCTCAGCGATGCCGCGAGTCTTTACGCCGGCGGCGGCGAGATATCCGCAGCGTCGCCGCCACAGAGCTTCGAAGAGAGCTCGTCCTCCGCCAGCACGGGGAGCGGCTCGGAGTTCCCGTGCACCTCCCCGAGCGAGTCTGCGAGCTCCTTCGCCTTGCCGGCCGGCGACGAGACGACGAGGACGGCAGACGCCTCGAAGAGCGGGGTGAGGTGGGCCGAGAGGGCGCGGAGGGCGTCGGCGGCGGTCACCTCCTCCACTTTCGAGAGCAGCCAGCCGGTGTAGTCCGCCTGCACGCCCGTGTAACCCGCGGCCCACTGCGCGCTGACCGCCGCCGGCTTGTTCGACGTGCTGGAGATCAGGTTGTACGTGAGCGACGACTTTGCGCCCTCGAGGTCGACCTGCGACAGCGTCGCCGCCCCGGACGCGTACTCGGCAATGATCTCCTTCGAGGCGGAGTAGGCCGCCAGCGCGTCGCCGCAGCGGTAGAGCGTGAGCTGCAGCCGCTCGCTCTCCGGAAGGTTGTATAGAGAGGCTCCGTACGTCAGGCCGGCGCCGCGCAGCCGCACCCAAAAGTCGCCCTCTAGCGCCGTGAGGTGCTCGATGGCCACGCGCAGCGCGGCGACGTCCGGGTGGTGTGGGCCGACTCCGCGCGCCGAGAGGAGGACGTACGCGTTCTCGATGGCCGACAGGGCGACGACCGCCCCGCCCAGCAGCGGCCGCTCCAGCTGGACGTGCACTGAGCGTACTCCCGTGAGCAGGCGAGCCGGGCCCGGCGAAGGCTGCACCGCCTCGGCGGCGGCGGCAGCCTCGAGAGGCAGGCTCTCCAGCCGAGGGCCCGCCGCCTGCTTTATGGCGAGGGGCGACCTCTCGCCGCCCTCGCCGCCCTCGCCGCCCTCGCCGCCCTCGCCGCCCTCGCCGCCCTCGCCGCCCTCGCCGCCCTCGCTGCCCTCGCCGCCCTCGCCCTCCTCCTCCTCCTCCTCCTCCTCCCCCTCGCCTTCGCCCTCCTCCTCCTCCTCCTCCTCCTCCTCCTCCTCCTCGGCCTCCGGCAGCGCCTCCGGCGGCGTCACCGCGCCGACGACGGCCTCGTACGGCTGCGACAGCTCCGTCAGCCGGCCAGCCAAAAGGAGTTGCATCCGCGTCGGCGCGACGAGGTGCGCGCGCAGCGAGTGCAGCATCTCGAGCACGTGGCGCGACCTGATTAGTCATGGCAAATTAATCAATCATTCGTCTCAGGAGGCTGTCATCTCGAGCACGTGGCGGTACCCGTCTCGTGTCGCCAGCCTCGCGAGGAGGGTCTGCAGGAAGGGCTGCTGCACCATTGGAGAGGCGGCGGCACCGTTGGAGCGGCCGCGGTCGAGCGCGAGGCATGCGTACACGTGCGACTTCATCTCGTCGCCGTCGCGGTACGTGCCCGGAATGCCGCTCAGCAGCCGCTTCGCGGTCATCTTGACGTTGGACGTGGTGTAGCGGGTCAGGTACATGGCGCGCCGCATCCAGCTTAGGCCCTTGGAGAGGGTGGCGTCGGCGGCGCCCGAGTCGAGCTCGAGCTTGATCGAGGCGGAGATCAGCTGAGGCACCTTGCCGCCGACGCCGAAGCTGGCGGAGTAGGAGACGGTGTCGTCTTCCAGGGCCGCGACAAAGGCGTCCTTGCTGAGCCGTGAGCCGTCCTCGAGCCTTGCTGGCGCCTTGAACCAGAGCTCGAGCAGCAGCGGGAGGTACGGCCGCAAGCTCGCGGGCACGTCGCTTGTGTCGAGGGCAACCTTGACGCTGAGAAAGGGCGAGTCGACCAGCGTCGCCTGCAGCCAGTACGGCAGCGGAGCGCCGCTCGCCGGCGCCGGAAGCCGCGAGAGCAGCTTCGCCGTGAGGCTGGCGTCCATGCCCTCGCCGGACCCTGGCACGACTGCAAACGGCGTCTCTCCTCCGCCGCGCACAGAGACGATCGGGATGGAGCGGACGTCGCTCTTGCTTGGGATGGACACGCGCGTCAGCAGCTCGGTCGGGATCTCCTTTCCATTGGCGGCGACTGCGGCGTCGAGAGCGGCGCCGAGCTCCTCGAGCCTGGCCGAGCCGAGCGACTCCCTCTGCTTCTGCACGCGCGCCGCCTCGCTCTCGGCGATCTCCTTGACGAGGGCGGCCGACGGCCGCCCCACCACGGCCGCACAGGGGCGGTCGAGGTACCAGAGGCTGAGGAGGGCCTGCCAGTCGGCGCGGCTCATCGCCTCGAGAGAGGGGAGCTGCGCTAGCGGGTCGCAGCACTCGGCGAGGCCGCCTGCCGCTTGGTCGTCCTCCGTCGGGTAGTACAGGAAGTGCCGCGTCAGCCCGTCGATTAGCGTGTCGGTAGGGTGCCTCTCGACAGACGAGAGGTGCGTGCGCCGCATGCGCCGAATGCACAGCCCCATCCGCTCCATCGAGAAGTCGTCTCTGGCGGCGACGAGGTGCCGGAAGAGCGAGGGAGCGATCTGGTCGATGGTCTCCACCTCAGCGTCTTCGAACCAGAGCTGGTGGTACCCCTCCACAAACACCTCGTGCGTGGCGCTCACGTCGCCGCACAGCGGCGAGGCGCACTCCACGAAGGCCTTGGCGAGCGGGCTGGCCGCCGAGTCGGTGAGGTAGTTGTGCAGCAAGGCCAGCTTCTGCCACGTCGCCGCGTCGCTGTACGCGGGGCCGCGCCACGCCATGGACACGGTCCCCACAGACTCGTCTTCCGTCGGGAAGGAGATGGTTCGCGCCGCCCCCTTGACCTCCAGCTCCGTCGAAGATGGCGGCGCCGAGCAAACCACAATCCCATCGACGCCCAAGGCCGCCATCGAGCAGACCGGGCTGGACCATGGCCGGCGGGGCGGCGCCACGCCCACTGCTGCCTGCGCCTGCTTGCTGACCACTCTCTGCTCCAGCGCAGACAGCGCGGAGAGGAAGTCCGCCTCCTCCACCAGGCCAGACACGACCAGCAGCGTGTTGTCTGGCCGGTAATTCTCGGCGTGGTAGCGAGCCACCTGCTCGTTGGTCAGCCGGCGGATATTCGCCATCTTGCCTCCCGTCTCCGCCGAGTACCCTCCCGTCGGGTAGAGCAGGTCCATCACCGCGCGGTCGATCAGGCTCGAGGAGTCGTTCTCGCGCCCCTGCATCTCGCAGTAGACCACGCCCTTGTCCTCGCCCTCGGCGGTGACGTGGTGGATCTCCGTCGTGAAGCCCGCCTGCGTCAGCGTCGGATAAAAGACGTGGTCGGCGTAGATCGGGAGCATGTTGAGGAGCCCGCGGTGCCCGGCCGTCGTCAGCGTGTAGCACGTGTGGTCCGTCGCCGTCCACGCGTTGGTTCCGTCGGCGAGCGAGCGGTTGGCGAGCTTGTCTAAAAGGCCCTTGAACGGGTACTGCTCGGAGCCGAGGAAGGTCTCGTGCTCGAGCACGTGCGGCAGGCCGTCGTCCTTGTGCGACCACTCGTTTGTGTCCGCCTCAGTCGCGATGGCCATGTGCATGGAGCAGAGCGGCTCGTCCGTCTTTGCGAGCAGCGCGCGCAGCCCGGTCGCCGAGGAGACGTAGCTGTGCAGCTCGGCCCCAGGCACGGTGACAGAGCCGACCTTGCGCCACGTCGAGCCGGCTTCTTTGGTCGTCGAGGCGCACATGGATCGGGCGCTGGGGCTCGCTGCTCAGGCCTTTGCGCGTGTGTCACTGTTACTGACTGCTCAGGCCTCGCCGGCGCCTTGCGCCAAAAAGTCCAAAAAGCAAAAAAAAAAACCTTCGGCGGGCACGTCGCGCCGCATGGTGGCCGCGCTGCGCCGCTCGCCGCTGGCGCGCGGTTGAACGCGGCGCCGACTCCGCGGCGGCGCCATCTCACGCAGCGGGGCGCGTCGCGTCGTCGGCGCCAAAACAGACGCGAGCTCGCGGCGCGGCCGCGGCAGCAAAAACAACAACCGTCTACTTCTCCTCTCGTCTCGTCTTGTCGCAGGCGCACACGCGCGCGACGTGCGCTCGTTCGCCGCGTTCGCTCCGCGAAGGGCGATTCGAACCGGGAGCCAGTCGGCGCAGCGGCGGCACGCGGCGGCAAAACGCACGACGCTCACCTCATGGAGATGCTGCGGCTTTGGCACCTCCTGATATAATGCTGATTTTTTGCTGAGCGGGGCGGAGGCACGCGGGCGGCGGAGGCGGCGGCGGACGACGTCTACTTCCCCTGTGGTAGCTTAGCGATCAGGGAGGATCTACCTGTTCGACCTCGAGGAAGCTGCTGGGGGAGAGGGGGGGAGAGAGGAGAGGAGGAGAGGGGAGAGGATGAGAAGAGGAGAGGAGAGGAGAGGAGAGAGGAGGAGAGAGGAGAGAGGAGGAGGGGGAGAGGAGAGAAGAGAGGGGGGGGTGAGAGGGAGGGAGGGAGGGAGGGAGGGAGGGAGGAGAGAGAGAGAGGAGAGCCTTTGAGCCTTGGCACCAGCCAGGCAGTTGATTTGGCCCTGGCACCAGCCTTGGCAGTTGAGTTGGCCTTGGCACCAGCCTTGGCGGGCGGGCACGCGGGACATGCACAAGCGCCAAGGGGCGCAGCGCCGACAATCACGGCGGTGATTGCGGCGCAGGTGGGGGGACGGGAAGTCCGTCGGCGTTGCCGGGGGCCCAAGGAAGCGCGAGGGAAAAATTCCGCCGCTGAGGGCGCTCGTGCGGCAATAGCCGGGTGGAGGGGGAGCGTGCCGGACGGGGCGTCGTCGCGCCGTCCGATGGTCTGCTGCCCCGCGCAGCAACCGTCGGGCGACGACCCGGGGGCCAAAAACCCGGCGACGACGGCGCTCTGGATGGGGCGTGACCTCCTGCCTCCAACCTCCTTCCTTTTTGAGCAGGTGTGACGCCGCGCGAGCGACGCTCCGAGATCGCCCGAGATAGCGCGGCGCGGCCCCGAGATCGCCCGAGATAGCGCGAGATCGCCCGAGATAGCGCGGCGCGGCCCCGAGATCGCCCGAGATAGCGCGAGATCGCCCGAGATCGCGCGGCGCGGCCCGGGGCGGGGTGGATGGGTTGGGAGCGAGGGGGCGGAAGTGATCAGTGCGGTAGAGGGTCAGCTCGAGGCGCGTGAGCCGGACTTGTGAGCCGGACCACCCCCTCTTGTTCTCTGCGTTGTTGAGCCAGGACTCAACATACTCGGGCTGTTGCCATCCCAAACTGTCACTCCCCTTTCTCCCGGCCGGGGTGGGGCGCGCGCGGGGGCGGCGGGTGTGAGGGATGTCTGTGAGCCCGAGAGCGATATGCCATGTCCGCCTTGCGTGTTTTCATAACATCGAAGGCTAAGCTCAAAAAAAGAAAGCGAATAGGCGCCCGCCACGAGAAGTCAATCAATAATCATCAATCGAGAAGTGCGTTCTGGGGATGCAAAAAACTCCCTCCCACGCTCCCCGGCCCTGGATGTGAGGTTGATTGATGACTGCACTCCAAGTGCTCCAAGACCAAGTGCTCCACGAGCACGACACTGGGCACGGGACTGGCGCGCACTGCCACTGGCAGCATAAATAATTCTTCGAGGTTCACCTCGGAAGCCCTGATACACGATATTCTGGGTACACGGCCCAAGCATGCCAAAGGCCTCGCCGTCGAACCCACGTGCACCAGCCAGGCCCACCGAGCAGCTGCACTGAAGCCCCTTGCCCACCCACTGGAATGCCCGTGCTACTCGACACTGCGAACACAGCGCTACCATCCGTCGCTCGGAATCTCTCTCCGTGGAAGGCCACAAAGTCGATCACATGTACTCGACTTGAGCGGGTGGTGTTCAGCACTGCGGTGTTAGTACAACTTCTAAAATTCTTTTCTGTGCAAAATTCTTCGGCAGGCGGCGGACCAGCTGAGTAACAAACTTTCGCACGCTCAGCACCTCGATGAGGTCACATGGACCACCAAGAACTGGCACGGGCTGCAGATGCAGCGCTTGTCTGTCGTTCTCCACACCGCCGTGGCGTGGCAGACGGTGAACGAGCTAGCGTGCGGGGACAGCGGCATTGTGCACGGTGCTAAGTGCATTGCCGTTCTTAACGGAGTCGCTTAGGCGGCTCCGGTGGTGTGCCGGTGATAGTACTAGCACGCGCCAGTTCGCACCTGTGTCGAGCCTGTGTGCTGCGAGAGAGAGTCGTTGTGTAAATTCTTTTCTGTGTCACGTCTGGATTCGTCCAAAAGCGATACTCAAGGAGAGCGACTTGCATGCCGTCGGCCACTCGTCCAGCCGTGGCAGGCCTTCGCAACTGGGGCACGCCAACCATGACGCTATTACTGCTCCTCGGCGGCTCTGCCGCCTTCAACACGCCGCCGCCACTGCGGCCGCCGCTCCGCTCGTCGCTCCTCGCGATGCAGGTCCAGCAGATCCCATCGCCAGCAGAGCTGCGCGCCGCGGTGACTGCCTCGGCCTGTGAGGGCGGTATCTCCGTTGTCCTCTTTGGCAGCAAGCAGTGCGCCGCGTGCAGGGCTCTGCTGCCTCGCACGCGACGGCTCGCGGCTGCGCGGCGCGACGTCCGGTTCTTCTCGCTCGAAAGCAGCAAGGCGACGGCCGAGGCGTTCCAGTACCACGAGATCACCGCGGTGCCAACCTTCCTTGTCCTGGATGCAAGCGGCGCCATCCTCGAGACGAGAGCCGGGCTCGCCCTTGCGGAGTGGCCGGCGTTCCGCTCGCACGTTGAGGCGCTCGCCGACAGCTGCGACGCGTGGGCCGCTTGACAAGAGGACACTCCCGACCGAGTCCCTTTGTTTCCGCCACATGGCGCGGCGCTTAAGTGCGCCCGCTCCACAGGCACCCCTCTCCCCCCCTCTCTCTCTCCCGTCTGCTGCTGAGGTCGCGCCGGCGAGATGCGCTGGCGCGGCGGCCTTCTCCCACCCTCGCCTTTGGGTGGTCTAGTGTCGACTAATTATTGTTCGTCCAGGGCATGTCCGTCTGCGAGACAACGCGATTGCATGAGATTCGGTGCGCGATGTTGCGCCAGTACGTTTGGGTTTGTCGCATTGTCCCCAGGATAATGAGATACACACCGACATATGTTGTAGATGCGAGGGTCCGCGCCCCCCCCCCTTGCCCCACCACTCTTTGTGTGTGTGGAGAAATTTACCTTACCTTACCTTATGTATACTGCGTAAAAAAACGAATGAATGGCATATCTCAGCTTTTTCCTCTTTGACCGCCACATTATACTCGCTCTTTATTTCGGCGCAAGCCATGTGCCATGAACAAAGGCTAAAGGAGCCGGACACAAGCAGAAGAAACAAAGTAACAAACCCGCGCACTTTTTTACCCACCTCACAGTATCGCAAGGCGCGCCGAATTCCCATGAAACAGTAAAAAATCGCGCGAAAAAAATGCCAAAAGAATCGGCGCCTGCGGCGGGCTGGGGGACCCCATCTCCCCCCCGCATGGATACCCCCATACGCGATACGGCCCTCGCCTCCCCCCAGAGGAAACACCTCGAAGCCCTGGCGCTGGGAGCCCTCCCCCGTGCCCCGACTATTCCAATTTCAGAAAGAATTTGCGCCGCGGGCTCTAAACAAGCACGCCCACCCTACTCCCTAGCCGGATTGCAAGCGTCTGTTTTACAGCTCAGGAGTCAAGCAAGAATGCAACCAAGGCTAGTGCCATTTCACTGTGGCACAGCTCGCGTTACAAAACCTTGATAATTTGACCATTGCGCGAAAAAGGTACATCTCGGTGCCTTCCAGAGGCAGCTGCGACCCCGC